AGACATGTATGAGGACAGCAGGACAGTGGTGAGATGTGCTGTAGGAGTGACGGATAGCTTCAAGGTGGAGGTGGGATTGCATCAAGGATCAGCTCTGAGCCCCTTCTTGTTTGCTCTGGTGATGGACCGACTAACAGATGAGGTCAGGCAAGAATCCCCATGGACAATGATGTTTGCAGATGACATTGTGATCTGTGGTGAGAACAGGGAACAGGTGGAAGAGAACTTGGAGACGTGGAGGTATGCACTTGAAAGTAGAGGAATGAAAGTCAGCCGTAGTAAGACAGAGTACATGTGTGTGAATGACAGGGAGGAGGTGGAACAGTGAGGCTACAAGGAGCAGAGGTCACTGGTGAAGGACTTAAAGTACTTGGGGTCCACTGTCCAGGAAAATGGGGAGTGTGGTAAAGAGATGTAAAAGAGAGTCCAGGCAGGATGGAGTGGATGGAGAAAAGTTTCAGGAGTGATTTGCGACAAAAGGGTGTCAGCAAAAGTCAAAGGAAAAGTTTACAAGACAGTGATGAGACCAGCAATGGTGTATGGTCTGGAGACAGTGGCATTGACAAAAAGACAGGAGAAAGAACTGGAAGTGGCAGAAATGAAGATGCTAAGGTTCTCCTTAGGATTGACAAGGCTGGATAAGATTAGGAATGAGATAATCAGAGGTACAGCACAGGTTGAACAACTGGGAGATAAAGTTAGGGAGGCCAGACTGAGATGGTTTGGACATGTCAAGAGGAGGGACAGTGGGTATATTGGTAGAAGCATGTTAGAAATGCAGCTGCCAGGAAAAACACAAAGAGGAGATAAATGGATGCAGTTAGAGAGGACATGAAGGTAGTTGGTGTGAGGACAGAGGATGCAGAGGACAGATTGAGGTGGAGGAGGATGACTCGCTGTGGCGCCCCCTGAAGAGGGAAAAGCTGAAAGAAGAACAAGAAGAAGGCATGTCTCATGAACCCAGAGTAATAAGACCCACCTCACATTCAGAAAATCCATTTCATAGTTTGCAGCCAACTACAATATGAGGACAGAGTGAGCAGAACTGTGGCTAACAAACTTTTCATCTAAACATGTACGCTGTGTGGAAGTATTTTACACTAGAAACACCACAAAGCAAGACAACAACGTGCAATGTCTGCAGAGTCATAGCACCACATTAAACCGCGGTGAATTTAGTTTTACGTTGGACATTCGAGCTCCGTGGCTTCAGCAGGTCTGCTCCTCTCGCTGAACCCGTAGCAGGCAACCCGACCTTGGCCAGCCGTGCTCAATAGCGGGTCTGCTCCACTCACTGACCCCAAAGCAGGCAGCACGACCTTGGCCAGCCGTGCCCAATCTGCCCCGTTCAGTCTGCCCGTCTCGGAGGAGGGGCAGATTGAGCACGGCTGACCGAAATCAGACTGCCCGCCCCGGACTGACCAAGAAAAACACACCGTTGAAGCCCCGGAGCTCTAATGTTTACCGAGAAGGTGCTAAACTTCATCATAATTAATGACCAACCACTATCAGTTATAGAAAACTAAGAATTTCTCAGCTTGATACTTGCAGCCAAGATATAGATTACCTTCCAGGAGATATGTATCAGTACAACAGTAGACAATCATAAAAAAGCATATGAATTGAAAATTACA